CATTGTAATAATATGGTCATTTAATTGTTAAAAAAATATTCATTTGCTTAACAAAATTAACTTAAAATGTTTAAAATAGTTCTGACAGAAGAGTAAAACATGTTGCAAACAAAAAAAGTTGAAGGAAAAAATTCCTACAACAAGCGGAGTAACAAGAAGCAAAAGCTCCCAAGAAGCAGTTCAGATTGAAAAAGCACAGGAAGTTCAGGAATCAACAAAGGTGGTTCAAACAAAAAACAAAGAAAGGGTTTCAGAACATAAGAAGTTCTGGTAAAAAGGAAGTCAAGAAGAAAACAAAAGAAGTTCAGAAAGGGGAAAAATCATCTCAAAAGGAGGTTCATAAATCAGTTAAGGAAGTTACAAAGAAACCAAAAGAAGTTCAAAAGGTGGTGAAAGGTGAAATTAGAGAGAAAAAAAAAAAAAAAGAAAAGATGATGATGAGGAGTTGATTGATTTAGATGATGTTGTTCATTTAAGTGATGTTGATGATGAATTTGTGAAGGATGATGTTGAAGAAGACAATCTTAGTGTTAGAGTCGGACATGTTAAATTCATGAAGTTTGTAAGCAACTTAAGTCCACAACAGAAGCAAGCAATTGAAGAAATGGGATTTGGGATTTAATATTTCAATGTTTATTTTCAAATAATAAATGTTCAAATTTGAGTATTGTCATGTTCATATTTATTGATGCTCATATAAAATAGTGCAATGGTTATCATTAAAAATTTCAATGTTCTTTCGAAAAAAAAAATTCAATGTTTATTTTCAAAAATTATATGTTCAAATTCTAATAGTTTCGTGTTCATAATTTGTTCATTTTCAAAAACTATAGTTTAAAACATTATTTATATAATTGTTAATGAAAAATAGATCATATTTAATTCATTGTAAATTTTTTTATGTTTATTATAATGTACTAAATGTTAAATTGAAATATACTAAATGTTCATTTTATATATCAAATCCCAATTATGGTTCATAATTCCTTAACCCAAATTAACTTATGTTCATATAACAATCTAACTCACATGTTCATAAAAAACATTTACATGTTTAGATATCTAACATAATATGTTCATAATTACAAAACTTTAAAAGGTTTAAAAATACATAAATCGAAAACAAAATAAATTTTCATATGCAAAGAATCAAATATTCAGATATATAAATTATAAAGTAAATGCCAATTTTTTTTATTTTTTTTAAAAATGATTACAAAATACATAAATCTAAGAAACGTTCATAAGTAATATATCAAATGTTCAAAATTATAATTAAGATGTTCATAAATCCAAAAATATATGTCAGTAAAAATATATATTTATAGGAAACGTATCTTACGTTCATATTTTTAACTTAAAATGTTTAAAATACCAAAATATAACCAAAAACAGAACTGTTCATAATAAAATACACAAATATCACTAACAATAATAATATGAAAGCTACATATTTCAAAACTCAAATCTATCCATAATGATTTAGATAATTTCATTGGAAAATAATCATCTTCGTTGTCTTAACCACCTTCTCCTCGTCAAATCCGCCATTTTTAACTTCACTTCATTGCAGAAACTCCATTAACAAAGCTTCAAATTGAAGGTTGAAGAAAACGAAAGTTAAAATTAATATATGATGATCAACAATGGTGATGAAGGAATTAAATCAAAAACAAAATAATGAATAAATTTAAGAAAGAGAAAAATAGAGGAGAGAAAAATCAGAAATTAGAAATTGTAAGAGGAGGAGATGAAGAATAATTTATGGTGATCAACAATGATGATGAAGAAATTAAATCAAAAACAAAATAATGAATGATTTAAGATAGAAAATTAGAAGATAGAGGAGAGAGAAATCAGAAATTAGGAAAGTGTGAGAGGAGGAGAAGAGAGGAGAGAGAAAATACTAAGGAGAGATAATATTGTTGGTATAGTGCTGGCAAATTGTAAGACACGTGGCATCTTATTACTGGTGCTGCATACAGTTTAACATCCCCCGTAGTGCATGTTAAAATTAGCGTAGTCCGAGTATACAAATGGGCCGTATATATATCAATCAGGTAATTTAAGCCCATTATTTCACTTATCACTAATGGCCTTTATCTTGTGTTTCTTTAGATTGGGCCCATTTCTTATGTTCTCCATCAAAATTGTATCACTTTTGCAACAAAGCCAAGTAACCAACAAATGCACTTGTGCTTCTTTGATGACTTCGTGAATCACAACACACCAATATGTAGTATTGACGTATTGACGTATTGTACCTCTATTACTCTTTAATACACATATTATATACTTTCATTTGCAAAAGTACTGGAAATAAATTTTATTTTATAAGAACAAAATACTAGTGAGAAAGTTGAGACATGATATGATAATAATTTATTTTTTTTACTCGAATAATTACTTAATAATAAGTACACATTTCAATGGTTCTTAAAATATTATAGCACCACTAGACGTTTGTGGTACAATTGATTAGATGTATATTGCAATGAGTAAAAAAAATTAACTTAAGGTTAAACTAGCGGCGAATACAAGATTATAGTTTTAGATGGTTGTCATCATAATGTACCGAATACTTCATAGTATTAGGGAAAAAGTTGTATGATTTTAAAAAATCTTGGATATTAAGTGCCCAATGTAATATAGATGTACTGATGTACATATTTTTATATTATGGGATGTTAGAAGACATCCTTACCTCAACATAGGTCCACCACTTAATTTTAAATCATTCGAGTTATTGAACTAACCATTTTGTCTTATTTCTCTCGTTTCCTTTTTTACTTTTGTACCATCTTCTAAGTCTAACTATCTATTAAAAAAATGAAATCAATTTAATTAACTATTTTTACTATGGGCATATTCAACATCTTTTGCAATAGTGATACTACCCCCGTTAACATTTAGTTGCAATTTTGGAAGTGAACACGGACCCCAAGACAAAATTTCAAATTGTGATTAATAAAAGTTTATGCATGTAATATGTGGAGAGAGAAAGTGTAGGGACCACCTTAACCCCTAAAAAGGAGAGACTATTTCCTGTTTCTTTTTTTTGGTGGGATTACTTTTCCCTCCTAAAATTTTGGCCACTTTTAAAATTTTCAAACTTTTCACAAATTATGGGATTTAAAGTTTCCCTCCATTACAAAAGCAGGGGTTCAATAATAAATGGGCATATATATACAACCACCCCTTTTCAGTTTTTTCCCCTCTTCTTCTTTCAAGTCTCCACAAAACATTTACAAACCATGTATCCCAACAATTTAAGTTAGCAAAATATTAAAGACCAATAGTTTTAAACCACTACGAAAAAAAAGCCTTCATTACTTCATTTAAGTTTTGGCAGCATTCTTCCAGTACAGCACATCAGCAAAAAAAATCCCTTTCTTCTCACCTGTATTCTGGGAAAAAAAAAAAAAAAAAAGAAACCAAAACACAGATATGGCAAAGGAAATTAATGATGGGTTTTTCAACATGGAACAACTAGGGCTGAGCAAAACTATCTAATTATCCGAAAATTTGAAAATCTTATCCGTATCCGATCCGAAAATTTAGGATAACCGATCCGAAAACATTTTCGAATCGAATATCCGATCCGAAAATTTCGGATATCGGATATCGGATATCGGAATTTCAGATTTCGAATATCCGAATATCTAAAATGATCCGAAAGTAGCAAACTTAAAAATACCTCCCATTAAAAAAAAACCCTTGACAACCACCCATTTTTTTTCTCTCTCCTCTCTTTTCTCCTCTGTTGTCACGCATCTCTTTCTTTTTCTCTCTCCACCCTGTTCTCCTCTGTCACGCATCCCTTTCTTTTCTCTTTCCTCCCTTTCTTTTCTCTCTCCTCTTAACTCCATACTGCATTTTTTTCTTCTCTATCCTCTTATGTCCATACTCCATTCTTTCTTCTCTCAACTTTTAACTCCACAACAACACCGAGCAACACCGGCGGTTGCCAACAGCGACCAACAACAACACCGACATCGACGAGGCTGTAATTTCAGATCTAATTTAATTTAGGTTAGAATTTGGATGTAGTTTTATTTTTTTTTCAAATTTCAGATTTTAATCACTTGTATTTTTTTTATATAATTGTAATTTTAGATTATATTAAGTTTAGTTCATAATTTTAGATAATTGATCATTTTTGTAATTTTGGATTGTACATTTTAGATTTTAATTGCTTGGTGCGTGGTGGCTGCATGCCGATTGTTGGTGTTGCTGGGCGAACGAGAGCACAGCCGCATAGAGCAGCCATATATAGATTGTAGAAGGAATTTTTTTTTTAATGAAATATAGAAGCAATTTATAAAAAGGGTTGGATATTGGATATCCGAGTTATCCGATCTGAAAAATTTCGGATATCGGATATCAAATATCTGGATTTTCGGATACGGATATCCGATCCGTGCTCACCCCTAAGAACAACTACTATATGAAAATGCATGAAAATTCAGATTCTGAGGCAGAACTAGAGTTTATGGCACAAGGCCAACATGAGCCTAGTGTATGAAAACAAAAGTCAAAAGTTACAATGGCAAAGAAAAGAGAGATTGTTGATGAAATGCTAACACTTATGCATAATGGCACATTACTAAGCGGTGCTTTAGCAAGATTTGCAAGGCACTTTGGGATTCACAAGTCAACAACAACAAGATTATTTAAAGAAATATGCAAGCAATTGGCTGAAGGGACTGCTATTAATGTCAGGAGCAAAAAATTAGGCAAGTGTGGCAGAAGAGCAAGGCAGTACATAGAGGAATGGTTACAATCAGTACCATTATACCTCAGAACAACTAAGAGAAGTTATTCTGGTGCACTTGGAATTTCTCATGTTATCCTCCACAAATTGAAAAAAGGGCATTCTCAAAACACATACAAGTACAAACAAGCCAAGACTGACATCAGATCACAAAATAGCAAGGCTTAGATGGGTTTTGTCACACATACAACTAGCAACAACAACTACAAATCCAACCTTTGAAGACATGAGCAATGTGATTCATATTGATGAAAAGTGGTTTTACATAAACCCGGAGACTAGAAGATTTTATCTTCTGCCCAAGGAAGAAGATCCATATAGATGTCAACAATCAAGAAGGTTCAAGATAAAAGCTATGTTCATGGGCATGATCGAAAAGCCCTTGTATGATGCACAAGGCCATTTGATTCATGATGGGAAATACGGAATATTCTCCTTTGTTTTTCAGCAAACGGCGAAGAAAAAAAGTAAAAACAGAGAAGCTGGAACAATTGAAACAAAGACAAATCAAAACATAAACAGAGAAGCAATTAGGGAAATGTTGGTGAACAATGTGAAACCAGCCATTGTAAGCAAATGGCCTGCAAACATGCCAAAGGATGTGGTTATCCAATGGGATAATTCTAGGCCACATCAAGTGCCACAAGATGAAGAATTCATTGCAGCCATTACTCAAGGGGGGTTCAACATCAGAATTGTATTACAACCAGCACAATCTCCTGATTTAAATGTGCTGGATTTGGGTCTATTCAGAGTAATTCAATCCTTACAGCATTAATCTTTTCGTAAAACTTGGATGAAATGATAGAGAAGGTCAAAGAGTCTTATGATGCATTTCCACCAATTATCAACAAGTACACTTGGATAACATTGCAAACCTGTATGGTTGAATTACTCAAAGAGGAGGGAGGGAACAAATACAAGATTCCACATATGGGGAAGCATAAACTACAAAGACTTGGGTTGTTACCGAAACAATTGGAGGTCAGCCAAGCCCTCATAAACCAAACAGTCAACTACCTCAATACCATTTTTATCCACACAAACAGAACCAAGAAGGAACTCAGTTAGAAGTGGTGGCAGATTAGAGATAAAGGTGGGAGAATAGCCAACAAGGACTGCCACACATAACCAACATTTTGTTGATACAATGGGTTTGTAAGTTATTTTAATTAACTTTGGTTGTGTGTACTTTTGTATCTTGTAAGTTTTTGTCTAAGGCAGTCATGTTAGAAGACATTTTATGAAGGGACTCAATGTGTAGCTAATTTTAAAGTGGTATGAAGTCTTCTTAGTAGTATTTTGTATGAAATTCACCTTGTTTTTTTTTCACATTTAAAAACATTCATACATTACTTGAAAGTAACATTTAACAAAGGGTGGATAATCCATCATAGGGTGTAATTTTTTCTCAAAAAAAAAAGCCCAAACCATGTTATCCTCAACAGGAAGTGCACAACACTTAAACTGAAGCAAACCATAGTTTAGACGATTTTTAATCAATTAAGTCTCTTCATCATTTGGATTAATAATGGGCATGAAAATCTGAAATAGGGACTCATTCCACTAGGGACAAATAACCAAAAGAGGGACTGCTTAGGCAATAGGGAGGGATTGAATAGGAACCAGGGAGGGACTGAATAGGAACCAGGGAGGGACTCAATGCACTGAATGGGCAACAAGGAGAGGCTGAATAGACAAGAGGGAGGGACTGAATAGGCAATAGGGAGGGACTCAATGCACTACATACTGACTTGCAAACAGAGTGTTCTCTTAAATATTATCATCGAGGGCAATAAGTAAAATTGCTCATGTACATCATTCATCAATAACAGTCCCTTATATGCAAGGCATCAGGCAACATTAATCATGCATTGAAGATTAGGCAACATGCATTCAAGAGCAAGCAACTTAACAAAAACGAATAGGCAACATGCAACCACAATAGCAAGGTCATCAACATAATCTACCAACAAAGGCAACATCAGCATAACCTACCAACAAAGGCAACATCAGCATAACCTACCAACAACATCAACATAATCAACATAACCAACCAACAGCAGCAACATCAACATAATCTAATCACAACAACTTAATCTACCAACAACATCAACAACCACCCTGGCCAGCAACTGTTTGTTGCTGGCATCCATTGCCATTCACACTAACAACACTTCACCATTGCCATTCACACCAACAACACTTCACCAATCAACCCAGCGCATAACTAGAAAAAAAAAAAAAAAAAAAAAAAAAAAACAAGAATTTAGGGATTAGAAATTGTTACCCAAAGCAGGTCAATCAGTAGGAAGGCCAAATTTCATTCACTTATTCTCAGGCGCAGCATCAGATTCACCAACAGTAGAGGGGGACTCATGTTTTTCATTATCATCGTAAATTGGTGTTATCTTAGCACCAATCCCATACATTCTTCTCATTTGTGCAACAAAGACCCTAGGAATCATCTTAGGATAGTGGTTAGGTCTGGGTTTGGTAACGAACTGTGATTTGGGTTTTTTAGCACGACCCAACCCAGATTTTGCACCCATCTCAGAAACACATCCGGGTCCTTTTGAACCACCCGAACTCGAACCACCATTGTTCTCAGAGAAAGTACTGAGTTGCTGTGAAGAACAACCCGACCCAGACATTCCGGCCACCTTAACAGGTTCAGATTTCACTTCCTCTTCCCTAACATTCGAGGCAACCGCACTTAATTTCTGAGCGGCTTCCTCATCTTCAATAAATCTGAGTACTTTACCAATCGCAGCGAAGGTTCGTTGGCTGAAAATTTCGCCACCTTTGCCCAACATAAAGAACAAATTAGGCCAAGAAGCCTGTTGTTCAAAAGCTCCGATGAGAGCATCTATCAATATCGTCATCAGTCGCGAATAGGGCTTCGTGTAGGGGAGTAGATCCGTTCAAGAAGGAGGAAGAAAGGAGAAAGAAGGAGACAAGATCGATTCAAGAGGAGAGAGAAAGACCCAAGTGAGGCAGATGAAGAAACTTCAAGAACTAGGGTTTCAATTCATCATATCTGATGAATTGTTGATTTAATCAAAGGCATTTAATTTGGTAGGTGGGAGAATGATTTAATTTTTGGTGGGAGTTGCTAAATTATTGGAATCAGATTAGGATGCTAAAGTGATTTAACTAATTGCCTAAGTGAATGTTTAATTTTTTAAGTAAGGGTAATATTGACATTTTAACTAATAATACTTACTATAAGTGGAAATATTTGGAAGGTTCACTAGTAGAAAAAAGGAATTGCGCACCAGTTCAAAATTGGCTTTTCGCACCAGTTTTGAATCGGTTTAGATTTGAGGGGTGCGAAGAAGTGACATTATTCGCACCGCTTCAAAACCAGTGGCAATAACACTTATTCGCACCGGTTCAAAACCAGTGGCAATAACACTTATTCGCACCAGTTAATAGTGCCAAAAAAAAAAAAACTGTAGCATCAATATTTTCTTCTAGGGTAACTCTAATTATAACGATAGAAGGAGGGGTTAACAACAACATAGAAGTAGCAGTAGCAACATAGAAGCAGCTGTAGCAGCAGTAGTGACGTTGCTTCAAAGGTTTTCATACGAGATTGTTGCACACATCCATCTGAGACAAAGATTGGAAAAGCATGAAGAAAAATATCAGCCTAGCAACAAGCACTGGTACAAGAACATCTAGGTGAAAGAATATGAGGTTAAAAGTAAAAATGACAATAAATTTTGACATCTTATAAGCAGATTGCATGGTTTGCTTCTTACGAATGATTTTTGACCCTGGAAAGCTGCAATATAAGTTATATTAGTGGTAATACAACAAGGCAAAAACAATAATAAATTTACAACTATAACTAAAATCAATAATTACATATGTTGCGAAGTGTAAATTCTACAATTACTCACTAATAACAAGACATTTTTTATTATGCTTATGTTAAGAAACATAATATCACAAACTATAAAATTTACACCAACAACAACAAAGTGGCAGCATCGATTAACAATTTTGCCATCCCACACACAAGCAGCAGGCAACGTACAACACAAAGAAGAAACATAATCAGCAGCAAGAACTCTTTACCCACAATAAAACGCAGAAACAAGCAGCAAAATAAGCAACACGCAGCAAAAAAAAACACTGAGGCACCACAAGACACAACACCACACATTCATCACTTAACAAAATGAAGAGTTTCCATTCAGCCAAATTCAACTATGCATAGGGCGTAGCCTTATTCATATCATTACAAAGGACATTTTCCTCTACTAGAATGAAAATCATCATTATTCAAATCAAAGAGCAAAATAATCACAAAAAAAAGTAAATAAAAATTGGAAACCATATCCGTGCATCATACCTTGTGATATGAGGATTAGGCATATAGGACTCATAGGAGGTAAACTTCTGAGCTGAGGTTTGGTCTGACACCGCAATTGCGTGTGAGTAGCTCCTACATATTGCTTTACCAATCTTCAAGTGCCAACCTCCCAAAGTTTAACAGTGGAATTCTTGCCACACGATAGAATAACCTGAAAATATTAGAAGGCTTATTCAAAAGTACATCTAGTATATCATAGTATACTAGTCACATCAATATCCACTGTTGAAAGATAAGATTGGCAAGAAAATTTACAGCCAACAAGTCAAAATTACTGGCATGAAAACTGCTGAGTTTCGTAGCGTCTAACGCTATGCGGATGAGAAACCCGCCCAAGACCCGCTCACTAATTAAAGCAACTAAATATTAAATAAACATAATTAACAACATAAGAGAGAGAAAGAGAAAAGACATTCTTACCCTTGACGCGTGCTTCGCTCGATTCACAAGCTTTTACTTCAAGGCTTGAGCCTTGCAAGTGCGACGACCTCCTACGGCTCGCACCCTCGACCCGACCAGAACGATCTTAATCCCGAAGGTTAGTCAGGACTTGACCAAAACAAAACTAGAGTATAACGAACTTAAGGTTTTCTCCCTTTCATAAGGAGATGCCTTTTTAGTTCCACTCAAGTGTTCTTCCCAAAACCCAAAACTTGGGTATTTATAGGGAATGGAGACTTGATCTCCATTCTCCCATCAATGTGGGAGATTTTCATTTTCCTCTATTTTATTTTAATCAAAAACAAAATAAAAATGCAATTCAATCAACAAGCTACAAGTGGCACAAGGAGGGAGAGAGAGTAGGTGAGGACCACCAAAGGGGGGACCAACTCACCTTGCTCCCCAAGCCAAACACCATCCCCTTTGGTCCCCTCCTTGACCGGTTGTCCATGCCACATGGTTGGCTGGCAGCTTGCCAAGGCTGCCAGCTGGCACCTAGCACCAAGGTTGGATTATCCAGCCAGCACACCCATGCATGCGTGCAGCTAGCATGCCACGCATGCGGGCTGATGCCTAGGCGCTACTATGCGAGTGTGCTTGGCTGCTGCTATGTGATGCCTAGCACGCATAGCGCGCTGCTGCTTGGTGCCCCAACGCTGGCACGCAAGCACAACATGTAGCGATGGCTGGCCCAACATGGCTAGCAAGCACGCACAGTGCTATGCGCTGCTTGCTTGCGATAGCGAGGCCCAGCAAGCACTTGCGTCCTGCTGGCCTTGTGATGCTTGCAGGTTGTGCTTAGGCATGCCTAGCATATTGCAATGGCTGGTGCTTCTATGCTAGTAAGCACACCCGGCCATGCTAGCACAATCACAACACGCACACATAGCACACATCTTGCAATGCTCGGGCCATGCGATGTGCGTGTGCTAGGCGATGCTGGGCACGCATGGGATGGGGACCTCGCCTAGCCTAGCACTCGCATGGCTAGGCCAATGCGAGGCTACGGCTTGGCTCGAACTTGTCGCTTGCTTAATTCCACGTCTCGTCGAATTCTAAATTCGACTCGACTTGCGACGCTCGGTCTCGACGCTCTAAGCTCGATATTCGACGTCTTTGTTCGTAATACTCTAATGACTCATCTAATCCATCGGATTGATTCTTCAAATCGGATCAGTTATTCGATTGGGGTATGACCCAAAGGGTTCAGTCAAGATTAAGCCGTAATATTAATTATGCATTAATATTACTGATCGGAAGCGGCCTCCACCTATGCATCCGATCACTTAACCTCACTGAAGAATTAGCTTTCTAATAATTCTGAACCCTCTATCAGAATAATACACTTGTTGGAAGGACATCATTCCTTTCAAAAACAAATTTAATATCTCAAACTGAACAAAAGTTTTAGTCAGGGAAACTACTTATATTACATGTCAAGTTCAATAAACTATCATTGCATGATAAACAAGGATCCTGCAAAAGATCTTCACAAGCAGAGCACTCAAAGGGAAAAGACTGGCAGAATATGTATAAATGGTTCTCATAGTTAGACTTACAAAAAACTTAGGCCTACAAATGCTCATTGCTCAAACTACCAACAAGTACTCTTGCCAGATAAATGCAACCAATAAAAAATGCAACCCCAGCACTAAGTTGAACAACCCTATGAATTACATACCCTAAACAAAATGAATAAATGTTATTAGCCAAATCACAAGTACTACATCAAGACCTTAAACTTTTGATCAAAGATATCATCAACTGTCTTTCCAGTTTACAGAGCAATAACAAAATTAGTAATAAACAAACAAAAGAACACCAATCAAGTGTGAAACAGGAAATAAAAAGCATACCCAAACCAAAATACTTAAAACAACCAGCCAAAGCACACCTTGTAATTTTTAAATCAACAGTTCAATACCATTCATCAAATACTTCATAAATCTCACCCCTTCTAAATTTCATAAAGCAACCTATTTCATTTGCTAAATAAAAATTACTCACAGTACTAATCATCAAATTTTACAAAAAAATCCCACATTACTAATAAATAAATCAACAACATGAATAACACAAACCCAATTCAAAAGAATAAACCATCAGCCCTAATCTTGTCAATGGCTTCAGCAAGAATACTCCCAACAAAGTAATCATTTCCAGAAGATATTGAAGCCACAGCTGCAGGCAAGAAGTATAAATTAATATAAATACATAGGCTTAAAGACACACATGCTCCCAATCTCGGCAGAGCAAAAGCAGCAGCTCCAGCAGAGCAAAAGTAGTAGCAACAGGGGTTCACTGTAGGTAGCAACAGGAAAGCAGGGCAGCAAGTTCAAGTCATTCGATAAACGCAAAAACACAGCTCAGAAAATCAATCCAAAACCCAAATTTTAAATTCGAGTTATACTGGCAAGAAACTCAACAATTGTGGTACAATAAGGCAATATAAGAAGACAAACTAGAAGCAAAATATAATGAAGTAATCCACCATCCACTACCAAATGAGATTTAAATTGCATATTCAATCAAAGAGAAACCCAAAAGTGATCAAAATATACCCATACCACAATCAAGAAATCAATCAAAATATAGTTAAACAAATATATACCCAAAAAATCAAATCCAATGACAACCAATACAATATTCACAATACATCCACAAATCAAACTACTGAAATTTCAAGTATCAAATACTCTATATACTCACAATTCAAATACTCCGTGTACCCATAATTCAAATACATGGGCAGCCTCCACACCAACGCACAATCACACCACGCATCACAACAGCTCCAATTCACAAGCAAGTGCGTTGCAGCCCCCATAATCATATGAATTTACATCCAAAACTATTTACAAAATCACATTAGATACTACTATACTCACAAAATCATTACAAACAAAATAGGGCACCAAATCTGCACAACAAAGCATTCAAACATTTATCATTCAGTCACTTGAATAGCATACAATTCAATAATACATACTAACAAAGAATCAATAATCACATAAACCCTAGAAATTGAATCTTAAGAAGAATCAAAGTAAAATTTATAATTTAAGTACTTATAATTTGAATCGAAGGTAAATTCGCACACTTCAATATAAAATCCTAAAAATTAAATAGAAACAAGAATTAAACATCAATGAGTACCTCATTTCCATTGAGCCTCAATGATTCGTATTAAGTAGTAGCTCACCCTTTAATCGCAATCCTCTACAAAGTAGCACAAAAATTATCAATAAATCGGCAAAAATTGAAATTTAAACATCAAGTTACGGAACATGAAAAGGAAAATCAAAATTAATTGTGAAATTTCACAAACACTGAATGAAAAAGGAGATAAAATGCATAAATTGAATGAATATTGTTTCAGAAAACCCTAGCCATCGATGGCGTTGCTTGCACCGCAGTGATGGAGAAGGAGAGAGAAGGAGAGAGAAAAGGAAAGGGAAAGCGACGGTGGCTGAGGGATCTGGTCGGATGACTTCGATATCTGGCTGGTGGTGGCTTCGATTGCATGTGACTGCGAGTTTGAGGAGAGAGAAGGCAAGAGAAAGCCTCCATTGTAGATTCAGGAAATAGACAGCGGCGGCGATGATGGTTGTCCTTGGCTTAAATTGACGGCGGTTTTCGAAGGAGAGCAGCAATGGTTGTTGAGAATGAGAACAGTGATAAGAGAAAAGAGGCAAATGAGAGAGAACCAGAGATCGAGGAAAGAGAAAGAAAGAAGAGGGGCGAGATTTTTTTTTTTTAACATTCGCACCGGTTCAAACCGGTGCGATTAACTCAAGTTCGCACTGGTTCGGTTTGAACCAGTGCGATTACTCTTTAATTAACTCCCGCCTTGTTTTTTCCGCACCTGTTCTTAATAACCGGTGCTTATTTCTCAATGCTCATTTATGTTTTTTTACTAGTGGTTGCAACTAATAGTAAGCAACCGAAAATAGTAAAAGTTGCAACTAAATGTTAATGGAGGTAGTAGATCATAAATGGTACATATTAGCTTTTAAGTATTGCTTCACAAACGAACAACACTAGCTATATATTGGAGTAATGTCTGTTAAGAGATGCCGAATTCACCTTTGAATTTCAATCTTTTAAAAATTACAAAGCTAGCATCTGATTGTGTCAATAGTTAATTTATGCCGATCGAACACTTTAAAGACTTATAAACCGTACTGTAATAGACATCTAATGACATGTACAACTTCCTTAAATTTGTTTTACAAATAGCTAGATGCACAACAAATTTAGTTAAAATGCTGTAGCTAGACTTGGTAGTCTTGGACCTTGTACTTATGGATAGTGATTCACAACTCATGACTTTTAGTAAAGTAATTAGTTAGTTAGAGTTAAAGGACTTTAATTCAAGTGATAAACCAATCATTTTCCAAGATTAAGTCGACCAATATTATTATCCAAAGTCAAAATCCAAAGCTGTCAAACTCATCTTGATTGTCCGAATATACAAACAAGACAAGATAAAATAGACAACACGTTATGTCATTACTCCAAAATAAGCTAACATGTATAACTTGTGTGGTTGGCTCCATACTCCAAACCACCAATCACAAGTCGGCAAAACGCTATGATAACAACTCTTCCTACATAATTTATTACGTAGGAAATCAATGATTAACCTTCACGATTAACAACATTTGTAAGATAGATCTTAAGAAATTGTACTATTAAGATATACTAATTGCTAATTATTGTTGCACTTTATTGGGTTGTTATCTACTTCCTCTTGTATGATTTACATTTTATTATCGTACAAAGTACATACTACATAAAGAGTATTTAATTTATGTTACGTACCAAGATAAATTATACGACTCATGAAGTCATGTTCGATGTGTTTTATAATTTCATGTTTTAGTTATATAGGTGTATCAAGGTGATGAGATGGTGAACGATTCTTATTTTGGGTTATATTTTCTTGTAGCTATCATCTATTTACCCTACTTTTGGTCCTTATAACTTTATTTTGATATACTTCTTGTTTTGCTCTCCTAGAGTTCTTTTACTTAATTTTGTTGGAAATTGATAGAATGGAAGCATATGACAATACGACATGGTTCCTACATTGTTGCCTGATTCGCATGCAGAGCAAGAGTGTTTACTACATTAACTTTTGTCATGGTCTTCATAACTTGGGTCTAGCCATGCCAAATCCATCTAAGCCCCCTCGCTACATAGAGTATCAAGGTTTTCACGAGGGTAACTTAGGCACGACCTAAGCTTGTGTGCTATAGTCAAATTTGACTTATCTAGACTATCTTATTGTGTTAAATGATCTAAAGCCCGACATAAACAATAGTATGTTGTGTTGTGCCTATTTAGTGTTTGTGTGGTGGGCATTTTATTTTATTTTATTTTATTTTATTTGGTTTTGGGCTCAATGCTACTTTACCCTCACCCACTCCAAATCAACTTTAAAAAAAAAAAAAAAAAAAAAAAAAAACCTTCAAGTACATACATTGTTTATTTAAATATACAAATAGCTAGATAAGTCAATAAAAACAAAAAAAATTCTTAGCTCTTGGTAATATCTAATGTACGGAAGTCAACCGGTTGGAGTGGGGCAGATGTTGGCTTTCTCATCTACATCCCCATCCCTAACTCCGCGGCTGGTCTAAATTGTATCCTCATCTCCGCCCCGACGAGTACAATTCCAAAACCATCCCCCCTTCCACTTAGATATCTACCCTCACCTAATCCTCACTCAAGATCCGCCTAATCTCGACCTTCCAAATACAACAATAATACATACATAATATAAATTACAATTAAAATTTAAAAAATTCATTGTTGATATTACACTTAATTGATTAATTTTTAAATATAAGTATATTACAATATATTATATTTACTATTTTATTTTACATAATTTTTTATATAAATAATATAAAAGTATAGAATTTTATAATTTTAAATATATAGATGTGGGTATAGGCTAGAAAAACGGCAGGTACAAAGTGGGGCAGGGCATGTATAAAGTAGGATTAGGCGGGTACAACCTAAAATCCATCCCGCCCCATCACCCATGATAAATATGATTTTTATCCCCATCACCTGTCAAATCGGGTCTTATCCCTGCTAACATCCGTCCCACACCCTAATCTAATGTATAAAGTGGACTCTCTTCTCATAAAGGTTATGGTCCAAAACCGTTTAACAATTCTTAGTTTGTGGTATTATCTAACATATCAATCATTCTTTCAATAACTTTAGATTTTTTTCAAGTTGAATTTAAGTAGCTAACAGCTTATCTTGCTCACTCTCCCCCATCTTAATCTAAATGGTATATCTTCCTTTCACATCTAATTCAATTTAATTGACACGTATTTTTTCTGACATAGACCCATCAAGATATAATTGCATATTTGCATGTCTTCTTCTTCTTATTGTTATTATTATTATTATTAGGGAAGGAAATTAGGTTAGTCCCAAGCAAAGGAAATAATCTAACTCATCTTTGCTAATAATTTAAGAATATTACTTTTCGCTTACACAATCAAATTTTAAATCACACACCTAAAGGTACGCTCAAAATTTAGATCACACACCTAAATATGGTCTTTGGCAAGTTAGTCTATCAGTTCATGCCTCGTGATGGGCTAAGGGTGGCAATATTATCCGAATCCGATGGATAATCATCCACCCAATCCAAAAATATGGATGAACACCTGAATTTAAGAAGGACGGATGGATGATGGACAAATTGGAACAGATACGAGTGGTGATATATATATATTATTTAATAATTTAATATCTATTTGCAATGTTAGGAATTCCATTGTGTTTTTATGTTAATGGAAAGAAGCAAGTATTAGAAAGATTATCGAAGTTTTGATTTATTAATCATTTTTTTTCAAATCTTATTTAAATTATGCAAGTGTAATATTGTGTTATATACTTTATCTCACCTGATTTACCACTCGACCCATCTGATAAATCCATGAATGATGGATGTATTGGATGTAAATGAAGGTAAATTAGAATGATGATCTACACAAATTGACACAATAAGTCTAGTATAAGGCACGCTTACGTTAACTTTATTGTAAGACGATCAATTTGAGAGCCATTATAACAACTTTATGGTTTAATTCCATTAAGGGTAACGTTTAATTGGCTATGAGTTTAATTGTATTTTTTGTATAATTTGTAATGGATACATGCTATGAAAACTAATATGATTAATCTAATACATTATGAGTCTTTTTTAAGTGTAAAATGTAGGTTAGAAAAATGGTAACTTTTGTAATACTTCCTTCGTCCTAATATATAGTTCCTGTTTGGATTTTTTCACGGTATTTAAGAAATGGGAGGAGTAAGTGAATAAAGTATATAAAAAAAGTTGAAAAATACAATTATAGACAAAAGTTAAAGAGGAGAAAGTGAATGAAGTACATAAAAAAGATGAAAAGTACAATTATAGACAAAAGTTAGAGAGAGTAAGGGGAAAAAAGTACAAAGAAAGTAGAAAATTTAAGGGTAATTTAGAAAATACAATGAATAAAACTAAAAAATTGAGGGTATAATAGTTTTTACCTACTATCCAAAAATAGAAACAGGAATAATATTTTGGGTCTCCAAAATAGGAAAACAGGAACTATAATATGGGACGGAGGGAGTATATAAAAGTAAATTTAAATACTTTTAGGATAATTTTAGCCCATCTTACAATAAGTTACTCCCTCCGTGTTTTAAGAAGTGTCATACTTACCAAATGCGGCCGTGTTTAAATAAGTGTTATACTTTCTTTTTTGGCAAAAAACTATATTTTAATATTATATCTCTATCTTCTCATGGTCCCACCTAAATCCACTACTACCTTTTTTTTATTATTTCTCTCCTTTCACATTCATTACTTTTCAATAAACTACTAACCTTACTATCTTTCTTTTACAATTTTTAATACTCTCACTACTCTACTTACCTCTTATTTTATTTAAATCAATTAAATTTCTTAAAATTATATGTCGATAAAAGTGTAAGACTTATTAAAACACGAATAAAGTAATAAAAGCCCACCTCAATTTGAGTGTGCGTTAAACTCATGTATAATGGGCCTAAAGGGCGAATAGGTCCCCACAATATATAATAAATAAAAAAATTAAAGGATAGCACCGTGCGTGGCGGGAATTTTGGTCGTTAGTCCATTATTTATTTATTATTTAAATAAATTCGGGTGCCACCTGTGTAGACATGCACGTGCCTCTCACTGTACCTCACAACTAAGTGGGCCCCACCCTCCACAGTTTCAACAAGACAATGCTTGTAAGTCCAAACACAAGAGGAAACTAACTTCAACCAAACCATACCATATTACTATATTACTATTCTATTTGCCAATTCCAAAATGCCGGTTTTATTTATTTATGTTATAGTATTTCACATACCTCAATTTGGATGGTCATGAATAAATCGTACTCCAAGTATGTTATGCATGATCAAACACGTCATGCATGCTATGTTGAATGTTAATACTTCCAACAATTTTTAATTAGAAGAGGAGCATTACCAATAAAATAAAAGTAAAAATAACAATAATAAAATATAAATGAATAGATTTATCTAATACAAGTACTCCATAATTTGTTTTGGGGAATAAGATGGTGGTGGGATTGATACAGAGACTAGAGAGTGAGAATCCAAAATTCCACATTTGTTTTTGTTATTAGTGGAATAAAAAGGAAGTGAAAATGGGAATAAAAGCAAATGAAATAAAATATAAATAAAATACCCCACTATACATTCATAAATCTAAAGGGCCATTATGGGAATGAAAATTAGGTTTATAAAAAATAATCAGCTAAAAACTATATTTGGATAAGGTTATACTAATATACTCTACATAACCCCTCTGTATTTAAATAAATGAAACGTTTTGACTTTTTGCATCATTCATCTAAGAATAAATATAGTTTTATAG